CGCAGGGCGAGACGCAGGCTCACGACGCTCAGCCAGACCTCCAGTAGGACCAGTGTAGGGAGAAGGAGCAGGCAAAGGGGAGGTAGGCTGCAACTGTAGCTGGGACGAGACAGGCTGTGGACACTCTAAGGGAGGAGGAGGACCAGTAGAAGGTGGAAGACCAAGAACCTGCTGCAGGAGTGGAACGAAGTACGGTCGAGGCCGCGCGGCGACGCTAGAAGCAGCAGGGACAGCACCAGAACCCTCAGCAGGAGCACTCACTCCAGCAGCACCACCAGTAGCTCCAGAACCTCCAGCAGCATCAGGAGCACCCCCAGCAGAACTGCCAGCGGTAGTCTCAGCGCCAACACCCTCAGCAGCACCAGCTCCAGTAGACCCCGCAGGTCCAGCAGCTCCAGTGCACCCAGGACGAGCACCTCCGGGACCCGCGACCGCAGCACCCTCAGCAGCCGAAGGACCTCCAGCACCAGCAGCACGCCTCCAGCGCCGGGCAAACCACTCACGCAGCTCCTGTGGAGAAAGTGGCTCCTGGCGAGACGAAGCACTCGGAGAACCTCCAGGCGGAGCACCTCCAGGCTCAGCACCCCCAGGCGTAGCACCCCTAGGCTCAGCACCCCCAGACGTAGCACCCCTAGGCTCAGCACCCCCAGGCTCAGCACCCCTAGGCTCAGCACCCCCAGGCTCAGCACCCCTAGGCTCCGCACCCCCAGGTACAGCACCCCCAGCCTCAGCACCCTCAGCAGCACCAGAGTCACCAGTGACCTCGACAGGCTCGACTGCGTCTACCTGGGACACACCTGAAGGGGCAGGACCCTGAGGGGGGAGGGGGTCTACCTGGGGGGGACCTGGTACCAGGAAGAGTGGGGGTGGGGGGAGGGACGGAGTGCGGTAGGGGAAGAGGCGGTAGTAGGGGACCGACTCGTCAAACGTGACGTCCTGGGAGGACAGAACACGGCGAGAGGTGGGGTGGTAAAACTGCCACCCAGGCGCGTCAGGGGGGAACCCCAGGAAGACGCAAGGAGCAGCACGAGGGGATAGTTTGTCCGCAGACAGGTCGCGGACAAACGCCCGAGATCCCCAGACCCGGAACGCCGACGCATCGCCAACCTTCCCCGTCCACAGCAAGGCTGGGGAGGTCTCCGGCCTGGAGACCCTGGGGTGGAGGTTGATCTGATGCGCCGCGTACCTCACCGCAAACGGCCACAGAAAATGGGGGGCAGCCGCATGCATCATAGACGTACGAGCGACGTCCATGACCATGCCAATGCGGCGCTCAGCAATCCCATTTTGCTGCGGTGAGTCCGGAAGCGTGAAGGTCTGACGGATGCCCCGTGCACGACAGTAGGCACGCAGAAGGCCAGAGGAGAACTCTCCGCCTCTGTCCGAGTGCAGACGCAGAACAGGAAAGTCCGAGCCGAAGCTCTGCCTGAGCTGGAGACGAGCTGCGCGGATCCAGTCGATCAGCACCTCAGTGACATCACCCTTGCTGCGCAAGGGGAAGACTGTGGTGTAACGCGAGTAGTCGTCAACAACGAGCAGGAAGTAGCGCTCGTGACCCTGTCCACGGACGCGGGCTGGGCCCCACACGTCCATGTGAAGTGTCTGCAACGGGGCCTCTGTCGGAGGAAACTGGGAGGAGTGAGGGGCAGCACGCTGGCGCCCCTCGACACAGGGGACACAGGCAGGGCCAGGGCCCTGAGGAAGGGGAGGGAGGGACCGGGGGAGACCGGACACAAGAAGACGGGAGGCCATACCTCTGAGCCGAAGCAGAGAGGGGTGGCCAAGGCGGTGGTGCCAGAGGAGAGTCTCGTGAGACAGGAGACGACACGAACAGGGGGCAGACTCAGGACCAGACCTGGACGCCGCAGCAAACACCTGACCCGACGTAGCTACCCTACCAGACTCAGCAACTGGAGGAGACGCAGTGGTCAGAGTGTACAGGCTCGACCCCGGCTGACGGGTGAACGTAGCCAGGTGTCGGCCTGTGCCAGCCTCTGTACAGTGGGTCACTCGCCGACGTGCAGGAGTGAACTGGTGGACACCCGCATCCTGTAGGTCAGCACCACTCACCAGGTTCGTCGAGAACGAGGGGAGGTAGAGACCAGACAGGGTGCCAGAGGGAGCCGCCGGACACGGGAGGACTGTGGAGAAACGAGACAGGACCGGACCCCCAGAGGGGTCAGCCAGAGACACCGCAACCGGCCGACTAAGCGGCGTGAGTGTGGTGCGGTCCCGAAAGAAGGAGCGAGACGCCCCAGAGTCAAGAGTGAAGGTGAGGGAGGCCGAAGCCGACGCGGTACCTGAGAGAGCAGACTCACCAGTACCTGAGGACGCAGACACACCAGCACCTAGAGCAGCAGCGTCGTAAGCACCTAGGGCAGCAGCCTCACCAGTACCTAGAGCAGCAGTCTCAATGCCCGAATCGGGCCGGAAACACCGGTAACAGTCACCCTCATCACTAATAGACACAGCATACATGGCAGAGAGAATAGCATCAAAGTCCAGATCAAAGATGGCAACCCCCGCCCTAGACAGCTCGTCCCAGCGAGGGATCTCGGAGGCCTCCGGGAACTGGTGACGCCATGCGTCCGTCAGGCGGCCAAAGCAGCGCGGAGTGGGGTGCGCACCCCCACACTGCTCACCCGCACGATCGCCGGTGCGCAGGACGTAGGTACACGGACCAAAACCCCCACCCCGCTGGCGTGCAGTGTACCACTCACGGAGCTGCTGAGGGGACAGGGTCGCACGACCACGCTGCTGCTGCTGGCGCGAGCCACCACCTGAGCCACTCCTCTGCAAAGACCCGCGACCAGCTCCACCGCCACCCCCACCGCCTCCACCGCCTCCGCTGCCTCCACTGCCGCCGCCGCCTCCACCGCCTCCTCCACCGCCGCCTCCTCCGCCACCTCCGCTACCACCGCCACCGCCGCCGCGGCCTCCGCCTCCACTGCCGCCACCGAACCCCCCACCCCCACCTCCACCTCCACCGCTACCCCCACTCCCCCCACTGCCTCCACCTCCACCTCCACCGCCCGCTCCTCCAGCTCCCTTGCCCCCCTTGCCCTTGCCAGAGCGGCGTCTCCCGCTAGGGGAAGACGCCGCACCGACCGACTCAAGACCAAGGAGGTCGGCCGAAGCAGCAGAGGCAACAGAGGGCAGCAGGGGGGAGGGAGAACACCCCTCAAAGATGGGGGTGCGCGGGTCACCTCGAGAGGCTCCTACAGCGACTATGCTCTTTTCTATCGCGAGGAGGGCCTTCTCGAGGAGGTCTACAGTGAGTGTGGTGGGACAGACTGAGAGAAAGTGGTCCCTGACTACTCGAAGGGAGTCAGGGAGGCGAGTGACTAGGAAGTACAGAGTGATGTACATCGGGGGGGGGGTTCGCGGTGCAGAAGTCAGCAGGAAGTGCAGCGCGGTAGCGAGTGTCACTAGTGCGGAGGTGCGTAATGAGGTCAGCAACGGTGGGAAAAGAAGCAAGGTCAGGGAAGAGGTACGGCAGCATGAGACGGCTCAGTGCAGCAGTGGAAGGGGAGGAGTAGCGCGCGACTACAGCGGCGTACAAGGTCTGAGCACTCTTGTACTGACTAAAGTGCGCACGCTCGGAGGTAGGGAGGTGGCGACGCACAGCAAGACGTGCAGCAGCATCGCGCGTGGCCCACTGGGAGCGAACAGTGGCGTCAGCATCAGCAGCAGGGGCAGGGGAAGCGCCAGAGGTGAGGTCAAAGAGAGAGAGGCCGTCCGCCCTATCGCACTGTAAGAACAGCTGTAGGTCATCTACCCAGACCTCAAAGTCAATGGCCCGACCCTCAGCGTCAAAAGTGAGGACACTGGGGGTAGCCATGACAGCAGTAGACCAGCAGTGCAAGGAGTAGGGGAAGAGCACGCAGTGACAGAGGGTCTGTGCTCACCGGACAGGGCTGCTCGGGCGGCTCGGCAGCTGGGCGGCTCGGCAGCTGGGCGGCTCGGCGGCTGGGCGGCTCGGCAGCTGGGCGGCTCGGCGGCTGGGCGGCTCGGCAGCTGGGCGGCTCGGCGGCTGGGCGGTCGGCTGCACGGCGGCTCGGCTGCGCTGCTGCTGGGCGGCTCGGCTGGGCCGCTGGCGTAGGGCGGCGGGGCCGCTGTAGAGGAGTGGCGGGGCCGCTGCAGAAAGGGCGGCGGGGCCGCTAGATAGGGCGGCGGGGCCGCTGCAGAGAAGTGGCGGGGCCGCTGCAGAAGGAAGGCGGGGCCGCTGGGTAGGGCGGCGGGGCCGCTGCAGAGGAGCGGCGGGGCCGCTGCAAAAGGGGCGGCGGGACCGCTGGGAGAGAGGCGGCGGGGCCGCGAAGACGGGCGGCGGGGCCGCTGCAGAGAAGCGGCGGGGCCGCTGGGTAGGACGGCGGGGCCGCTGGGTAGGGCGGCGGGGCCGCTGCAGAGGAGCGGCGGGGCCGCTGCAAAAGGGGCGGCGGGGCCGCTGGGAGAGAGGCGGCGGGGCCGCGAAGACGGGCGGCGGGGCCGCTGAGACGGGTGGCGGGGCCGCAGTGAAGGGCGGCGGGTCCGCAACGAGAGAGGCGGCGGGGCCTCAGAAAAGGGCGGCGAGGCCGCTGAGACAGGCGGCGGGGCCGCAGTGAAGGGCCGCTAGGGCGGCTCGACGAAGTGAGGGCCCGGAGCGCGACTCGGGCTGAGCGCGCTTCGGGCAGGAAAAAAAAAAAAATCGATGTGGTGGGCCCTAAGCACAGTTCCCAAGGGGGAACCTGCTCGATACCATGAGAATATTAGAACAAGAATGAGTGAACTATGAAATGAAGTGAGTACAAATATGAAACCCTAATTGGTTGTACCCCCTATAGGATACCCCACTATAGCCTACACAACAGCATAAGCTATAATGTTCTGACAGTTTTATCCTACACCGGGTAAAACAAAGGGGTGTATCCATTATCTGGGTGTAAATGCATTATGTCAGAGGTCCACTGGTGATCCCCGATTGATCCTAGGGAAGGGTTACAGGCATGTTGGCCTGGGGGGTTATGGGCGCACTGATTGTTGCCCTTCAGAAGCCGCAAGGGGGCGTTCGCCCGATTGCCATCGGCGAGATACTGCCGCGCCTGCTGTCCCGTTGTGTTACTCTTCACTTCAAGCAGCAGATCCGAGACTTCTTCCTTCCCTCCCTACAGTTTGGGGTCGCTGTCTCCGCAGGGATCGAGGTTATGGCCCATGCAGTCCAGTCGGCCCTTTCCCTCCACCCAGAGTGGGTTGTGCTGGAACTGGATGTTGCCAACGCCTTCAACTCCTTCAGCCGTTCTGCTATGTTCAACGCCCTGCGAGACTCCCCGTTCTCCAGCCTCATCCCTTTCTTCCGCCTCTTCTATGCCTCCCCCTCCTCTCTCCATTACCGCAGCGGCCCATTAATCGAGACACTGCAGTCATCATCGGGTGTTCGACACGGTGACCCATGTGGGCCATTCTTGTTCGCCCTCACCCAGCACCTAGCCATTCGCCCCATCCAGCGTCAATCTCCAGCCCTTTTCATCACCTCCTACGCGGACGACACGTATATGGTCGGCCCTGCGCATGACGTGTTTCCTGCCTACACAGCGCTTACAGCTCGTCTCAATAACCTCGGCCTGAGGGTGCAACCATCAAAATGCTCCCTCTGGGCCCCTTTGGACCTCCCTTCGGACCTCACACCTCCATCAGACATCGTCCTTGCCCCTAACGGACTCACGGTTGCAGGAGTGCCTATCGGATCGGACACCCACATTATCTCTACAGTTCGAGACAAACTGCACTCTTTCTCTTCATCACTGCCTCTCCTGCATGACCTTCATGATCCACAGACTGCCTCTCGCCTCCTTACTCTCTGCATTTCCGCCCGTCCCTCATTCCTCCTCCGCACAGTGGCACCATTTCCCGAAGTAGAAGAGCTTTACACTGACTGGGACAACACCCTGCTGGATCACTTTGTTCGCCTCATCGGCTCTGACTACTGGCCTCCTGCATTTGACCACACTGCCACAGCACACCGACAGCCATTCCTTCCCATTCGCCTTGGTGGGTTCGGCCTCCGTTCTTCAGCTGCAACTGCTTCTCTCAGTTACTTGTGCAGCTGGGCACAGACAGTTTCACTCCTCTCGTCATGCTTCACCATTCATGGCTCCCCTATCTTCCGTCCCTTCATCACTTCAGACACCATGGACCGCCTTGACCCATGCATTCCTACAGCCATGTCCAAACTTCATCCTACCATTCGGCAGCACTTCCCTACCTGGCCCGCACTTCACGCTGGCTATCCACAGAAGCTATACTCCTACCTTTCACAGCACTTGGAGGCTGTCATGCTCGAGCGCGTGCGATCCACAGTAACCTCTCCCCAACATTTGGCCCGTTTAACCTCCTTACAAGGGCCCCATGCTGGCGATTGGCTTACTGTGGCTCCATGTTCTTCGCATATGCAGCTGTCACCTACGGAGTGGTGTATTGCAGCCGCTATTCGTCTTGGCCTCCCCATTCCACACCTCACGACCACCCGCACATGCACTTGTGGCTCGGCATTCACAGACCCTTCAGTCGTCTCTCACGTCCTCCGCTGCCCATCCTCTAACGAGCCTACCAGGGTCCACGACGCCATCAAGCATGAGGTCCATCGCATCACGTCCGAGCTTGGTTACGTTGTGCAGCTGGAGGACTCCCACCTTCTTTCAGGTCGTCGCCCAGACATCAGCTGCCGTGACATCAGCTCTGGGACTACGTGGGCATTAGATGTTTCTGTTGCAGACCCCCAGCATGGTCCCCCAAACTCCAAGACTGCATCAGTAATCGGTTCAGCTGCATTTGCTCGCGAAACTGAGAAGCGGACCCTGTATGCATCTTCGTTACAAAACCGCCCGGACGTGAAGCTTCTTCCTCTTGTTCTTGAAACCTTCGGTTGCTTCAGCACGGCATTTCTCAGCTTCATCAAAGACTGCAGCAGACGAGGGGCGACTCGACTTCGTGACATGGGTGGTGCATCTGACCTGATTCCAGAGCTCTTCGAGACTAGCTACTTCAAGAGGATCTCCTTGGTGCACCAGCGTGAGCAGGCTCGAACCATCTGCCGTCGGACACAAATTCGTTACAGTGTTGACACACCCTCCGCCCCACCAGATCCCACCCCACCTTCCTTGGCTGATTTTGCGTACCTTGGTGTTGGTTCTTGAGACCTCATTGGGGGTCTCAGCCTAGGGTTGCAGTTGGGACATTGTTGGTTAGCTAGCCTTCTGATGCTCAAATCCGTCTGTATCTTTTGTACACATATACATTGTAAATAAAGCGGTTGGGATTCTGACATGCTATCAAAGCGAAGGTCTCGGGTTCGAATCCCAGTATGTACACTTCGGGCATCCCAGTGCGGGGGGGTGTCAGAGGTCCACTGGTGATCCCCGATTGATCCTAGGGAAGGGTTACAGGCATGTTGGCCTAGGGGGTTATGGGCGCACTGACCCGCTACTTAAACAAGCCCTTTTATCCCAATGGTCTAGTGGTTGGGATTCTGACACATTAGACCCGGAGGCTAATCCTATGTGCAATTTTTTATCTTAACCAAGTCGAAATCTAGTGTTACAGCATGACTGCATGATTTTCAATATCGCGTCAAGGGTGAATGTCGACCGAGCGCTGGCGCGAAACAGTCGCGTGGTCATTCTGCTGATGTCAGCTCGAAATTTGTATTCCCTTGACTTCGACCTTCCTACAGCTCGACTCGATACCAGTGCGTTTACAGTAACGGGGGTCTAATACGGTTTTGTTACAAAAAAACGGGTTCATTACAAAAGTGGATATAACATTAGACCCACCCCCATTTAACGACCCGGGGGTCTATAAATTTGGGAGGGCTATTAGTCGGGTAATTACGGGTAACGGACGGACGAAACAGTTACGCAATTCACTAGCCTACGAACACGACCGTGCGAGTCGCTTGGACGTTACTTATATCGTTATTGTAAGGAATTTTGCCTAATTCCTTACTACGGCATTCCATACGCGTACAACTCCAACTTACGGAGTTAGAGCTCAGTCCGACGACCTCGCCTTCCGAACGTCCATCGCGTCGCCTTCGATTTTCCCAACCCCGAAACTGCACCAGACCATACGCGGTACCGCGGCCTCGGAATAGCTAGCCATCGCTATTAGTATTTATATAGTTGTAATCACTTCCGAGATATTGCATTCTGGCTGGTTACAATTTCGTTAGCATTATATATTTCCGAAGTGGGAAAAAATGTCATAACCAGCGGCCGGACGAGACTCAGTCCGGACGCTTGACTCGGACCGTCCGATTTTCGGTATTCGAACCGTTCTCGGACGGGTGTCCGGACTACCTCTTTTAGAAAATAGTTCACGCGTCCTTGTCAAAGTTTGAACTCTAAACTCTTTGGGTAAGTAGCTTTTGCGGGGGTACTAATAGCGATCCTGCGCTTTCTAGGGAACTACAGTGCTAGTTGCGGGCACTTTCACCCACGTGTCAGAATTTCGCAAGCCACTGGAAAAAATATCCCTTTACCTGACCGAAAAAAACTAAAACCCAATCGGGAAGGTCTGGAAAAAATATCCCTTTACCTGACCGAAAAAAACTAAAACCCAATCGGGAAGGGATGCGTCTCGGGGAGGCATCAACCCTAAAAAAAATGTGGGTTCCCGTGTTTAGGGTTGATCCCTCCCGAAAATGAGTCCAGGTTCCCTATGGGTCCCCTTGAAACAGCAGGCGATACCCAGCGAGGTGTGTAAACAAGTGGGTAGGCGGATTAAGATCGACAGCCGGGGGTAACCCAAAGGGGGTTTTCCCCCCTCCTTTACCTTTACCCCTTGAAAGTGCAGGGTCGCTAGTAGTACCCCTGCCAAAGCTACTTACCCAAACTCTTTTAACCGTGGCGACAGTCTCTGAAATGTATTTTACCGCGTAAAACCTCTCTACAAGGTCGAACTTTGGCTAAGTAACTGAAAACCTTCCGCAGCTTGTTTTGGAAGCTGGTGTGACCTGCGTTGAGAAATCAGCTAAACACGAATTCTGTGGAAGCCTTTCCCCTTCAACTAACCGCGCATCCGTCTGCAAACTCAGGGCAGAGGGGCGTGCGTGACTCAGCAGTACTGGCTATTAGGGTTACACAGGTCTAAGAAGGATCGGGAATCGGGATTTCGTCCGACCAGCGTGCGAAACACTCGTCGTTTGTAGTCATGCTACATCTGTGGCTGTGTCGCCGTCACAGCCACTAACCCGAAGCCTTCCGCCTCCTTCCGTCCGAGTAGAGCCTCCCTCTTTTCGCCGTGGAAGCAGTGGAATTACATTACATTACTAGTACTACCAGCATTTTCGCACCGATGAGTCAACAAGTTGCACTCCGTGGCAGTGGAGCTTCCGTGACGCTTGCAGAACACAAACTCCTCTCCCCGTGGCTGCTACCATCATGGCTTTCTCGTGCTGCCACGGTGGCGCCTCTCCGCGTCTGCTCGTGTCGCTCCTGCTCCTCTCCCTCAACGTCTTGCAGATCCACGCGCGCCTCGACCCCGAAACAGCCGTTGCGGACGCTCAGCATTCCCGCAGCAAAATTCCCGAAGATGCCGCAAATTCCCACCGGCAGTTCGACTCCGATTCGCGGTCACCCGAGGTACGACCTGTAGCATCACACGAGCCCAGCCGTTGCTAGTAGTAGCATCGCTGGGAACAGCGCGACGCGCTAGATCCTGCGCCGTTACTAGTAAGTCACATGCTGGCACACATCCTGGAACGCCGCATGTGGCGCTAGATGTTCCCTGGGACTACAAACAGCGCTGAGAAAGGGTTTCTGGTAGTAATTGAAAACTATTTTCTAGTTAGGTCTACCAGCGTCAGGTCTCTCCCTCTCTCTCTCTCCCCTTCTCCCCATCTCTCCCTCACCCTCTCCCTCTCCCTCTCTCTCTCCCCTTCTCCCTTTCCCTCTCCCTCTACCTCTCCCTCCCCCTCTCCCTCTCTCTCCCCCCTTCTCCCTCTCCCTCTTCCTCTCCCTCTCCCTCTCCCTCTCCCTCTCCCTCTCCCTCTCCCTCTCCCTCTCCCTCTCCCTCTCCCTCTCCCTTCCCTCTCCCTCCCACCACCCCTCTCGCTCTCTTGTCAAGTCATCGCAGGTCCGACCATCCAAAGAATCCGTCAGCGCCGGAGGTGGGGCGCCGCGCAGCACGACGGCCGCGGCGGGGAGCGGTGGCGCGGTGGAGTCGATTGCGGAGTGGAAGCGGCGATCAGCGGAAGCGGGCGCGCACTTCTTCCCCCTGCAGCGCGCGGAAGACGCCCCCAGCAGGGAGGAGATACACCGCCGGATCCTCGCACCGAAAGTGAGGGGGGCGGGTGGAGGATGCCAGGAGCAGAGCTTTGCTGCTTGATCTCTCAATGTTAACATGCCTGGAGGGGGGATGGGTCGGGAGCAGGGCATTGCTGCTTGTACCGTCGGTCACAATACTACTAGGCTTCCCCCCAGCACGCGCCACGGGCCGTATGAGGAGAGAGTATAACGCGAGGTTGCTTGTGACGCCATCGCATAGTACTGAGTAGTAGACAGCCGCGGGCGCCTATAAGGACGCGGCACCTCTAGGGAGAGAGCCACGATCGATCCTGAGTGGGGATCGATCCTGGCTTGTACAGTGAAATCGCGACGTCGTCAACAGGCTGGTATCCGGTTTCGCTCTACCTCGCAAGTGTACAGTAAATTGGTGCCCAAAATGGTGGCACCTCTGGCTCGCACGATCGATGTGCCTGCGCCCACACATCGATCGTGTAATTGTGGAGATCGGGGCCATTTTGCCCCAGACGTGGCACCTGTGGCTCGGTGGGTCCAGACGATCGCAATTTAGCAGTGTGGGCACATCGGTGTGCTGATCGATGTGCCCACATCGGTGTGAGGCCCCGATCCTTCCCCGATCCTGGCCAATTCCCTAGAGGTGCCGCGTCCTAATTAGCCGTTGCGGCCGCTTCGCTGGATAGTGTGTCTTTTGCGTTATGCACCATCGTGAGGTGAGTCTCCTAGTGGCTTGATTGATGCTTCCTCTCCCTCCCACAATCCGTGTCGTCATGCGCAGGGCGTGGGGGGCGGCTTGAAGGGCAAAGGAGAGTCAGGCAAGGTCTCGAATGTGAGTGAGCCTACTGCGCCCACTGCGCCTACTACTTTGCTGGAATTTGCCGCGTAGCGAACCTCCCACCTGCCTCTGCGGCTCTGCCTCGTTGCTTGCAGTCAACGGGGAGTGCTCTTTGCCGCTGTTGCCTTGCCGCCTCAGAAACTCGTGTCCTACCTGCTTGCGTGCATCACTGCTTGCGTGCATCACTGCTTGCGTGCATCACTGCTTGCGTGCATCACTGCGTGCAGGCGGCGGGGTTTCCGCTGCCGCAGATGGAGTACGACAGCACGCTGGTGTCAACGGCCAACGGCACAATGGGCAACACCATGGTCAACTACAGCACCTTCGCCGGCGGCAGCGACAAGATCCGCCTCCCGTAAGGGCAAATTGCCAATCTCTCACTCGCGGCATGCCACTCGCTGCGTGCCCCTCCTTCGGTCAACCATCGTCCTCTACCCCAGCCCTTCACTCAATAAGCGCATGGTCCCGTGCTCCCTCCTCTCACCAACCCCCACTTCAGCCTCCCTCTCTGTGACCACCCCTTTCTCCCCCTTCTCCCCCTTTCTCCCCCTTCTCCCCTTTCTCCCCCTTCTCCCCCTTCTCCCCCTTCTCCCCCTTCTCCCCCTTCTCCCCCTTCTCCCCCTTCTCCCCCTTCTCCCCCTTCTCCCCCTTCTCCCCCTTCTCCCCCTTCTCCCCCTTCTCCCCCCACCCCCCCTCCCCCATCACCATCGCGCACATCTCTCTCCCCCCACCAGCGTGTATCCGTACTACGTGAATCTCAAGCTGGGGTCGCAGAAGCAGGAGTTCAGCATGGCGCTCAACGTGGCGTTGCCCTTCACCTTCGTGCCCTGCAACTGCCTGCACTGCGGCTCCTCGCGCAAGGGGGTGCGTCTGGTGTGGCACTCCGTGCTCCACCCACCCTCCCACACCCAGGGGGGAGTGCGATGGGGGAAAGAGGATGGCGGTCGAGGAGTGGGGGAGTGAGAGCGAGAGAAAAGATTGAGGAGGAGAGTGATTGAGTGGGAATGTGAGAGTGTGTGTGAGAGAGCGAGAGTGTCGGGTCTTGGGATTGCCATTGAGTGGAGGTTCTAGTACACCGGTCCTCTTGTCCACTTTGTCTTTTTGTTCGTTTGTCCACTTTGTCTTTTTGTTCGTTTGTCCACTTTGTCTTTTTGTTCGTTTGTCCACTTTGTCTTTTTGTTCGTTTGTCCACTTTGTCTTTTTGTTCGTTTCTCCGCTTTGACTATCTTGCTTGGCGGGTTGAAATCGCCCTCTCCCTTTCCCTCTCCCTCTCTCCCCCCCCCCCCCCCTCCCCGCCTCGCCCCGCAGACCACCTACAGCAAGCCCTTCAGCACGCTCTCCTCCACAACCCTCAAGTACATCTCCTGCGTCGACCGGCGCTGCCTTGCGGGCGCTGGTTTTGGCTACTACGGCTGCAACACGGAGGGGCTCCCCAACTACCTCAACCTCACGAGCAAGCTGCCTGGGGACGACGCTCTCTGTGTGTACGATGCGAATGCATGGCGCTACGACTACTACGAAGCAGACGATGAAGCAAATTCGTACATTGAATCTGTGGGGCATGTGGTGGAGGACACGGTCTACCTCACTGCACCTGATGGTACCGAAGTCAACCGATCCATCATCTTTAGGTGAGTCTCCCTTTAACTTGGTCCATCCTATCACTCTCCTCCTGCACTGTATCACAAAGTCTCAACCCCCGCCCTTTCGTGCTCTCCCTAACTCTCCTGCTCTCTGCGTGCCCAGCTGTGGAGTGAACCAGATGGGCCAGTGGGGCATGCAGGGGTGGCAGTACGACTCGTGGTCAGCAGGAGGCGTGCTGGGGCTGGGGTGGGACAGCCCCTTTCTTTATGAGCTCACCGGTGTTATTGACCCAAGCGCCTTCGCGGTGTGTCTGGAGGAGCCGACGCCGACGAACAAGACAGGGTGGGATGGCAAGGTGCCGCTGATGACAGGCAGCAGCCATCTCACCATCGGAGCCACCGGCCTCCCTGCCGGCGCCAGCTACGGCAACATGTAACCCCCCTGCTGCTCCACTCCCTCCCTTGCTCTCTTTCTCCCCGTGGAGGCGCCAGCTACGCCACTATCTAATTCCTTCCTTGCACCTGCTCTGCACTTGCACCGTGCACTCTCGCTCTTCCACGCCCTCTCACGCTTCATCCATCCATCCATCCGTCCGTCCGTCCGTCCATCCATCCATCCATCCATCCATCCATCCATCCATCCATCCATCCATCCATCCATCCATCCATCCATCCATCCGTCCGTCCGTCCATCCATCCATCCATCCATCCATCCATCCATCCATCCATCCATCCATCCATCCATCCATCCATCCATCCATCCATCCATCCATCCATCCATCCATCCATCCATCCATCCATCCATCCATCCATCCATCCATCCATCCATCCATCCATCCATCCATCCATCCATCCATCCATCCATCCATCCATCCATCCATCCATCCATCCATCCATCCATCCACCCACCCACCCACCCACCCACCCACCCATCCATCCATCCATCCATCCATCCATCCATCCATCCATCCATCCATCCATCCATCCATCCATCCATCCATCCATCCATCCATCCATCCATCCATCCATCCATCCATCCATCCATCCATCCATCCATCCATCCATCCATCCATCCATCCATCCATCCATCCATCCATCCATCCATCCATCCATCCACCCATCCACCCACCCACCCATCCATCCATCCACCCACCCACCCATCCATCCATCCATCCACCCACCTCATGCGTGTTACCCGTCCCGTGTGCAATCCCTCCACCCAGGCATGCATTGGCCGGTATGCAGTACAGCCACATCACACTCACCACGGCTAAGCGCGCCCTCAACATCACAGACGACCCAGCCTACATAGACCCCACCGTCACACCCTACGTGCCTCCGGGCTTCCCTGAGAACGTCACGCCAGGCTTTCTCTTCATGCCTGAGTACTTCGTGCATCTCCTGCGCTACCCTCTCTTCATGAGCCTTTGCGACGGGGTACGTGCCTGCGCCTGCGTGCCTCCGCTTCTCCCCTCTCACCCTGTGCCTGCGGGCTTGTCTGAGAGCCCGGCTGACCCCCAAGCGTGGCCAAGGCTTTCGAGGCGCCTCAAGAGACGGCTTCCCACGGAGTAGACGGCTTACAACCGGGCTTGCTGAAAAAAAATGTTCTCCTCTCTTCATGTTGAAGCGCGCCTCTCAATCTCCTCGTGCCGGTTCTTTATGCACGTATGCTCTTCTTGTTGTGCCCTCCTATTCATATGCGTGTGCGTGTGCATGTGAACATTTTTGCAGATTGGGGAAATGACTGGGCAAGAACTATGTAACCTGACAGAGAAATGGAATACTCTTGGGATTCCATGCTTCCAGTAAGTCTTTAAAAGCCTTCTCCCATCAACCCAAAGCCCCACCGCCATGCTCAACGTACCATCTCTCTGCTCCCTGCTCCCTGCTCCCTGCTCCCTGCTCTCTGCTCCCTGCTCCCTGCTCCCTCTCAAGCGATCATTCATTGTCCTTGATTCGAACGGAGCATCTAGGAGTACATGTTGTGACTGGCTGGCTGCTAGGTGCGTGAGCCCATACTGATCCACCCTCTTTTGGAGCCTCACATACATTGGGCTCATAAGTGCCGAGCGGAGTACATCACCTGCTGCTGCAACCCAACCCAAAGCACGTCAAGACAGGTGAGCCAACGGAAGTTTTGGCATGCCGGAAAGGGCAGTGTGTCTGCTTGCTGGCCAGGTGTACAGATCAACAGCCAGCCAGGGGAAGCAAGGCGACATGATTCATTTGAGTCTGGCATGCCGTTTGGTCTTTGAACCACACCGCAACGGGGGAGCCTGTCAGGGAGAGGAGGTGTTGGGCGTGGCGTGGGTGGGCATGCAAATGAGTGGATTGGCACCTACTTGGATCGGGGCCTGCTCTATCTGCTCTCGTGTGGCAGTGACCGACCGACCGACCGTGTGTGTCCTCTATCTTCCTGTGTGTGCTCAAAGTCAGGTCAGGTCAGGCCTCCACTGGAGCTTGCATTGCATCCAGACACGACACGGTCAGTGCTCAGGTGCCCCTTTACCTTCAATCGTGCACCTTGTGACCCTCTTACAATGATGCTCCTCTTGCAGGAACAAGAAGAAGGCGGGGGATCCGTTCACCACCTTCCCCACCATCGACATTGCTTTCCTCTCTCCTGACAACACCACTGCCCACTTCTATCTCAAGCCTCGCGAGTACCTCGCCCAGGTGAAACACGGGCTCCTCTCGTTGCAGTACCGTGCTTGCACCACTCCCCTCTCACCCCTCTCCTCTACCCTCTCCCCTCTCCCCCCTCTCCTCTCCCCTCTCTCCTCTCTCCCCTCTCCTCGTCCACCTCATCTCATCTCACATCACGTTGTGGGGTCATTCCCATTCGCATGCTCTCTCCATGCTCCGCTCTTCCATGCCATCTCAGCCCTCCTTAGCCCCAGCCCCAGTCTCGTTGTCAAAGTATAGGACGAGCGCCCTGAGTGACCGAGTGGATGATTTGCCCATTCAATTACTTTCTCACTTGATGCCTCGTTGTGGAGATGAGTCGAGACACCCCCGTGCCACCCCGTGCCACTCACTCGTCGACGCTCTTTCTTTCCTGATGTTATGCGCCCCCCACAGGTTTCAGCTTCTGAATACTGCATGTTAGTCGTTTCTGTTCCTCATTCGAACAACTACAACAGCTACATTGGAGGTAAGTGGACTACCTAGCGCACGTTTCCACCCCTTTCTCTACCTGAGCTTCTGCCAGCACCTTCCTTCCCCTTTTCCCCGCCGACCTTCCATTATGCCATCCACCAATCACTCCTCACAACACAACACGCCTACCAGCCAACGCAAGCTGATAGTATGTGCAAGCATGGATCGTTGCGCTAGGCAGTCCTGACATGAGTGATGAGGGCTCTCAGCAGTCAGTCCCGCAAGCTGGTCATGTGATCGAGCACTCGTCGCCTGGCTCCGTTCGCTGTGCATGGCATGTGACCAACTTGACCCGGCAGCCCACAAGCAGGAGGTCACCGGATGGATGAGCCTCGGTATCATCGATGGTCACGGCGCCATCGCCCCTCTGCTTCTAGATGGCTCATGATGGTAGCACCGTTGCCCCTCTGCGCCTGCCCTTCCGGCTTCCCTGCTGCAATCACCATACTCTTGTCTCGCTGCCCTCCTCTGCGGTGGGTGCATGTGGTGCTGAGCAGAGCCGGCGCTGTTCAACAAGTACCTCTTCCTCGACTACACCAACAAGATTGCAGGATGGATGGATGCCCCTAGCTGTAAGCTGCTACTCACCTTACCCTCAAGGCCTGCCTGGCCTTTGCAGATTACAACACAGCTTGCTGCAGACATCTTTCCATCCTCCACCTGTAACGGCTGTCGCTTCGCTGTGGCCTTTCAAGCAGGCAAATCCTTCACTTGCTGCAAAATTAACTGCATTCCTGTCACACGCACTCCAAGTGTTTCTGTCCGGTCTGCACAATAAGATCATGGCCAAACCCTCTGGAGAGCTTGCTTTCTTTGTCAATTGCCCGCCACTGCTGTCCCTTCTCATTTCTGACCACTTTTGATTCTCTTGTGTCATGTGGTTCTTTCTCTACTTCCTGTCACTCGCCTCACACCCCTTTCTGACACAAACCCCCTTCTTTCCTCCCCTCCCCTCCCCTCCCCTCCCCTCCCCTCCCCTCTCCTCTCCTCTCCTCTCCTCTCCTCTCCAATCCTCTCCAATCCTCTCCTCTCCTCTCATCCCAACAGGTGGAGCTGAGCCCCTGCTGCCGCCACCCTCCCCTCCTCCACCCTCGCCTGGTACCAATAAGGCCACCCACTCGCTCTCCCCGCTGCCGGCAGCACTCTCAGCTGCCGTTGTCCTTGCCACCTCCGCCACCCTACTTGCTCTCACTCTCCTCTAGAGCCTGACTTCCTCCCAGGAGCACTTTGAGCCCGAGTCTTGCATGCTCCTGTGTTGCTGGCCTACTTGTGGGAGTTTCTCAGTTAATGCTATGATAGAGGTCAAGGGGTTTGTTGGATCTATGTTTAGCTGCCTGCCTGGATGCTGCATCATTTTGTTGAATGGATGCTGTTTCTATCAAAAGGATGTATCGGTATATGTATGATGCTTGCAGGGCGTACACCAAATTCTAGAAACTTTATCCATCCATTGTACATTTGAAAGAACGCTCTGAATAGTACCAGGCCTTACTCAAACGCATTCAGACGTAACTCCCTGAACACGCCAGCAGTGCGCCAATATTCGTTGTACAGTACAAATGGAATGTCGCCAGCTACTGCGTGCGAAGAGAGTCGTCGACGCCGTCTTTTTCCCAGCCGTTGAACCACTCAGGTTGGACGCATACTAAATTTGGCGAGTAAGGCGGAACCAGTGACCAATGTCGAGCAGATTTTCACCTCTCAACGACTGAAGTCGTTGATGCCGTCTATTCCCCTGCCCGTGGGAGCCTACGTACCACTTAGGTGTGATTTGGCGAATGATGTTTGCCTTGGACAGGATGCCTGCACGTGTAGACTTAGTACAGTAAACTGAATGGCGACTCCGGAACCCGTCACTGTAAACTTATCGGCCAATATCATTGATACTCAAATTATGCCAGGAGCGACAATTCAGAAACAATGTTGCCACCAGCACCTCACCCGCACACACCCAACAAAACTGGAAAAAACGCTTGGATAACCTGAACAATATTAACCCTAAATACGGGAAGTCGTCAAATGTTTAGGCATGATGCCTTCCGCTTGGATTATCTCAATGGACAAACCACACTACCCAGCGAAGCTTGCTGCCCGCTGGGTTGCATCAACGAAAATAAACTTCCTACGGAAAGGCATCCAATCTGGATGAAAGCAACACAAAACACCTTGTCGCACAATGTTAAGGGTTGATAATTCTGTCACATCAACTGAGGGGGCTTTAGTTTTCTTCTGTCCGAGATAAGCATGTCCACGGTCGACGTGAGGGTTGACGGTGCAGTCGACCCCATTCAATTGAGTTATTCCCTATTTACATTCTTTTTCCCAGTGGGTTTTTTGTTAAAGTTTTACAAAATTCGTGCTCGATACAAATTTTCTTTGTAAAAGGTTGATTCTTCAATAAATTTCTGTATATTATTGGGTCACAATTGTTCATATTTAAGTTCGGTAATCGCGTTGTATTTCTATCACATTTCGAAGGTGCTATTAGCCTGAAAAGTGTGATACAAAAGCGAGAGCCAATCAGCAATGAGAAATCGAAGTTGAGTACCGATGCAAAACTTCTCTGGCATACTTTGAGTATCAATGATATTGGTCGCACAAATTGCGACTGCCTTCCATATTATTGCGGCCAATATCATTGATACTCAAATTATGTCAGTAGAGGTTTGCAAATGTAATCAACCGACAATTTATCATTGTAGTAGTTAAATATACTGTTTTGTTTAGTTATGAGCACAATTCTGACACAAAGTCGCCACCAACACCTCACTCGCACAAACCCAACAAAACAGGAAAAAATACTAAAGCATTTGGAGAAGCTGGACAAAAGTAGGGAATATTAACCCTTAATACGGGAAGTCGTCAAGATTACTGTCCGCGGGAAATTAAAAATAAACCCCATACGGAAAGACATTTAGTCAGGATCGCAACAACCCTAAACATCTTGTCGCATGGTGTTCAGGGTTGACGCCTCCTTCACATAACATGCCATCCGAGGGGGTTTTAGATTTATTCTATCTCAAGTTAGCAGGTCCACGGTCAACGGAGGTTTGACGGTGCCGTCGACCCCATTCCGTTGAGTTATTCCCAGTTTTCATCCTTTTTCCCAATAGGGTTTTTATTTAATATTTACAGATTTTGTGCTCGATACAAAATTATTTTGTAAAGGGTTGAATATTCAATGATTTTTCTGTATATTGTTGGGTAGCACCTCTGTGAAGATAAGCAGTAGAAGAAGGCGCCATAGCTAGGAAAGCCCTAGCTAGGCAAGAAACAGTTTAGGCAAAGAAGGAGGAGTTGCACTAGCAAGAATGAGGATACAAATAGCAAACCCTAGAAGGGTTGTACTCGCTATAGAGCACCCCACTACAGGCTAGAGCATAATATTCTGACACACCCCCATAGCCAAAGTGGGGTGTAATCAGCAGAGCAAACAAAGCAGAACAAGCTCAGGGTGGATCACAATGTCACCACACATTCTGAGCACAATGACACAATTGTTCATATTTAAGTTCGTTAATCGCGTCCTGTTTCCGTCATATTTTGGAGGTGTTATTAGCGTGAAAAGTGTGATTGAAAAGCGAGAACCAATCAGAGACGTGAAATCGAAGTTGAGTACCGATGCAAAATGTCGCTGGCATACTTTGAGTATCAATGATGTTGGCCGGTAAACTTATCCATTCTGAAACGGCCAACATCATACATACTCAGATTAGTCCCGAGTGGGTTCTCAGGTGTAATCAACCTGGAGTTCCTCAACGTTGATTGGTCGTCGCTTTGTAGTCACATTTCTCGCGCTGGTCGAACTCTTTAGGCAGTAACAAAAACCAGAACCATCCAAATTACCCTCCCGACTTGGATATGTTAAATTAAAGTACGGGAATTTTCGGCAGGGCTGAAAAATATAAAACCCTTAGAGAATCTGGACGCATTTTCGGGAGGGATCAACCCTAAACATGGGAAAGGGCATCGTTCTTAGGGTTGATGCCTCCCTAGTCGCATCCTTTTCCGATTGGGTTATATTTTTGGGTTAGATGGGGTGCAATATATTTTTTCAAAAATATTGGGCGGCTTCCCGTATTTAGGGTTGATCTGTCCCGAAATTCATCTAGGTTCGCTACAGGTTTTGTTTTTCAAGTGCTGTAATTTGTTTAGTGACTGTATACAGAAAACAACCAGAATAACCTAGTAATAATATATCGGGAAACTTTGTTTCTGTTGGTGATTACACCTGAGAGACCGCTCGGAAATAATCTGAGTATGTATGATATTGGCCGCATTCTGAAATGTATGGTGCAGCAGAATCGAGCCACCAACCAAGCACTGGCGTGTCAGAACATACATATAGCTTATGCTGTTGTGTAGGCTATAGTGGGGTATCCCATAGGGGGTACAACCCAATTAGGGTTTCCTATATGTACTCACTTCATTCATAGTTCATTCATCCTTGTTCAAATATTCTCATGGTATCGAGCAGGTTCCCCCTTGGGAACTGTGCTTAGGGCCCACCACATTTTTTTTTTTCCTGCCCGAAGCGCGCTCAGCCCGAGTCGCGCTCCGGGCCCTCACTTCGTCGAGCCGCCCTAGCGGCCCTTCACTGCGGCCCCGCCACTCGTCCCAGCGGCCCCGCCGCCCGTCTTCGCGGCCCCGCCGCCTCTCTCCTAGCGGCCCCGCCGCCCTACCTAGCGGCCCCGCCGCCCTACCTCGCGGCCTCGCCGCCCCACCGCGCGGCCCCGCCGCCCTACCTAGCGGCCCCGCCGCCCTTCCTCGCGGCCCCGCCGCCCCATCGCGCGGCCCCGCCGCCCTACCTAGCGGCCCCGCCGCCCTTCCTCGCGGCCCCGCCGCCCCATCGCGCGGCCCCGCCGCCCTACCTAGCGGCCCCGCCGCCCTTCCTCGCGGCCCCGCCGCCCCATCGCGCGGCCCCGCCACTCTACCACGAGGCCCCGCTGCCCTATCTCGCGGCCCCGCCGCCCTACCCAGCGGCCCCGCCGCCCTTGTGCAGCGGCCCCGCCACTCCTCTACAGCGGCCGAGCCGCCCAGCAGCAGCGCAGCCGAGCCGCCCAGCAGCAGAGCAGCCGAGCCGCCCCGCCGCCGAGCCGCACTGCAGCCGAGCCGCCCGGCCGCCCTGCCGCCGAGCCGCCCAGCAGCCGAGCCGCCCGGGAGCCGAGCCGCCCCGCCGCCGAGCCGCCCTGCCGCCGAGCCGCCCGGGAGCCGAGCCGCCGAGCCGCCCTGCCGCCGAGCCGCCCTGCCGCCGAGCCGCCCGGGAGCCGAGCCGCCCAGCAGCCGAGCCGCCGAGCCGCCCAGCTGCCGGGCCGCCCTACTGCCGAGCCGCCCGACCTGCCCTGCCTGGTGAGCACAGCACCACTGTTACTGCTTGCACTACTACACTGTCGTCGTCATGGCTACCCCTAGTGTCCTCGCTTTTGACGCTGAGGGTCGAGCCATTGACTTTGAGGTCTGGGTCGACGACCTGCAGCTGTTCTTACAGTGCGATAGGGCGGACGGTCTTTCCCTCTTTGACCTCACCTCTGGCGCCTCTCCTGCCCCTGCTGCTGATGCTGACCCCACTGTTCGCTCTCAGTGGGCCACCCGCGATGCTGCTGCACGTCTTGCTGTGCGTCGCCACCTGCCTACCACTGAGCGCGCGCACTTTAGTCAGTACAAGAGTGCTCAGACCTTGTACGACGCTGTAGTTGCGCGCTACTCTTCCCCTGCCACTGCTGCCCTGAGCCGCCTCATGCTACCGTACCTCTTTCCTGACCTTGCTGCCTTTCCCACTGTCGCTGACCTCATTACGCACCTCCGCACTAGTGACACCCGCTACCGCGCCGCCCTTCCTGCTGAGTTCTGCGCCAAGAACCCCCCCCCCATGTACATCACTCTCTATTACATAGTCACACGCCTCCCTGACTCCCTTCGCGTAGTCAGGGACCACTTCCTCTCAGTCTGTCCCACCACTCTCACTGTCGACCTCCTCGAGAAGTCCCTCCTGGCGGCGGAGAAGAGCATCGTCGCTGTAGGAGCCTCTCGTGGTGACCCTCGCACCCCCATCTTTGAGGGGTGTTCTCCTTCCCCCCTGCTGCCCTCTGTTGCCTCTACTGCTGCTGCCGACCTGCTTGGTCTTGAGTCGGTCTGCGCGGCGTCTGCCCCTAGCGGGAGACGCCGCCCTGGCAGGGGCAAGGGGGGCAAGGGCGCGGGTGGA